CATCGATAGTATGTGTGACTATCGATAGTTTGTAAATAAATATTTGAGTTGTTTTAATTTTTTTAATTGTTTAGGTGCAAACTTGCAGTTTCATTGAGTTTATGTTTTAACTGTTTACTCGATCTTGGTTTCAAGTTTCTTGTCAGTTATTCATAGGGGGAGCAGAGGAAGCCCAAAAGCCCGTCGTATCCAGCTCTGTACCTCTGGGAGTAACTCAGTTAGTTACATGGGAAATCTATAATCCTGTTTTGATCAAAGTGAACATTATGAACACAAACTGTGAGAAACCGAAGTCAATAAACATTAGTATTCTGATCAAAGTATTTCTGCACAAAAAGTAACAAACTCATAATTAGTGTTAAAATATACCACTAACCACTAATATGAAAACGTCTCGTTAGTCTATGGGATAGGTCTATTACGTCAGTGGGTAAAACTAGGTTTGTAATCAAAGTCACGCCTGATTGGTCCAAAGTTGTCTGATAATCGGCGTGTCTGACAAATTGGATGTCTAACTTATGAGAGCAAAAGCATACATGGAATTGGAGACCCCCTTCTTCATCTCGGTTAAATGTGTGTTTAGCAATAATAAATCCTCAATAAAAAAAACCCAACTTGCTTATATATACAGGATGTACAGGAGGACTGCAACAGTCACAATGGATTGACATGAGAGTGACGATGAGAGCTATCGGGATAGGTTTGTATGTTGATGTACAATATCTTCTTATAAGTTTTCATTACTATCAATGCATCCCGCTAATATATGATAACATTCATGATAACAGCACTCCATGTCCAGCATGTTAAACAACACAATAAAAATACAATTATTATAATAGACTCACTCAGCGGGCCCCAGCCGTTAAAACACCAAAATAACCAAATAAATGAAATACTAAAAATCACCAAGAATCTGCACGCCTCAGGTAAAAAAGTAGAGTGCAAAAGTGAGAAACGCCAAAATAGTGCCAATCTTACTCTGCTAAATAGATCAGAATGGTATCAGTGTTAGCATTGCCATATTGTGTGTAGTTTGCATGTTAATTTATTTTGGAATTGCTTCATGTTTCTATTTAAATAGGGGTGCACTCCCCTAAAACCTCGGGCGAAGAATAGCCGTGACGGGCAGACGGGAATTACAAAATAATTGATCACAAAATATTAAAACGAAACGTGCGAACCTGGGTAGGTACACCTCGCAAGTGTGGGGTTGCCCACGATAGAATTTATTCAACAATGAATACTATGACGACATACCGAGTGTCACGTAGAATAAAAACACAGTTTTGATGCTTTTTTTCCTTTGTGAGAAGGTTTGACAATGCCCTTAGCTCCTGAGTGGTGACGTGTGACGTCCTGGGCAGGAAGTGACAGTGTATTGATTTCTTTCCTTAATTACCCAGTTGGGGCTCCCTAATTAACTTTTATTTGTTCTGAAGCAGCATAGACTATTTATTCTATTTGGGAAGTGGTTATTGGCAAATGTCAATAGGATTGACAAGACATATTTCAATGCAGTTAAAGCTCTCACAATACTTTTTATGTTAACAAATTAATAAATAAGCTACTGTACTGGGGCTTATCTTGCTGTGATTTCTGTTCTGTTTTATGAATCAATGTATCGTTGAAGCAGTATGTCAGATACAGTTTCCAACACAAGGTAGTAGCCATATCACATAAAAATGATAGAACTCTGGGTCATTCGCAGATTGTTGCGAAGCGACAATTTTGACATTTTCAGTCATCACTCGATCCTGAACTGGGTCACTAGTGTTATGCCCATGGTGGTAAAAAACGATGCTTTTTCAGTGCTTCTGTATTCTCAAATGATCTACTATACAATATCACGTCATACTGTAGTTAGATAACTTGTTCCATGGCATTCTAATGATTTAAGTGCCTAGTGACTACATATGATTGAAAACGGCTACAAACATGACAATAAATAAAAAAGCTGTGATTAGGAAGGGAAAAGAAAATATAATGTAGTTTGATGTAATTAGATGAGAAGAGATGAGAAATAGAACCAAACTGATAGATATAAAGTGGGGCTTGTTAGGGGGGAAGGTGGAATTGTATAGCATAGGGGGAGCTTGTTTTGTAAACAGTTAAGCTGTTTATAATTAAATAATGGGTAAAGAAATAAAAAGTGGTTTAACTGGGGTGGGGTGAGGGGGTGGTATGGGAACATTGAAGGGGGCAAGGCAACCTCCAAAACACTGAAAAACATGTATTTTGAGTAAAAGTAAATATTCTCGCCGATAGGCCAACATATTTTTCGATCATGGGCGAGATTTTTTAATATCGCTCTAAGTTAGCCAAATTAGATCAAAGTGAGTTGAATTTTGTTTCATGATACCCATAAGTATACACTCATTCATTTACAACCTCCAAAACATGGAAAAATATGTATTTTGAGTAAAAGTAAATATTCTCGCCCATGGGCGAGATTTTTTAATATCGCTCTAAGTTAGTCGAATTAAGTCAAAATGAGTTGAAATTTGTGTCATGATTCTCATAAACATACACTCATTCATTTACAACCTCCAGAACATGGAAAAACATGTATTTTGAGTAAAAGTAAATATTCTCGCCCATGGGACAACATATGTTTCGCCCATGGGCGAGATTTTTTAACATCACTCTAAATCAGCCGAGTTAGATCAAACTGAGTTGAATTTTGTTTCATCATACCCATAAGTATACACTCATTCATTTACAAACTCCAAAACATGGAAAAACATGTATTTTGAGTAAAAATAAATATTCTCGCCTATGGGCCAAAATGTTTTTCGCCCATGGGCGAGATTTTTAAATATCGCTTTAAGTTAGTCGAATTAAATCAAAATCAGTTGAAATTTGTGTCATGACGCTTATAAACATACACTCATTCATTTACAACCTCCAAAACATAAATTTTGAGCGAAATTGAACATTCTCGCCCATGGGCCAACATATGTTTCGCCAATGGGCGAGATTTCTTAATATCGCTCTAAATTAGTCGAATTGAGTCAAAATGAGTTGAAATTTGTGTCATGATGCTAAAAAACATACATTCATTCATTTACAACCTCCAAAACATAAATATTGAGTAAAAGTAAATAATCTCGCCCATGGGCCAAAATGTTTTTCGCCCATGGGCGAGATTTTTGAATATCGCTTTAAGTTAGTCGTATTAAGTCAAAATGAGTTGAAATTTGTGTCATGATGTTTATAAACATACACTCATTCATTTACAACCTCCAAAACATGAATTCTGATCGAAATTAAACATTCTCGCCCATGGGCCGGCCCATGGGCGAGCGAGTGTAAATTTCAAGTTTTCGATAACATTTTTGTTAATTTTTTCATTCTTGGCATATATTCATAACAACTGCATGTTTAATTTGGTCAAATCCCTTGTCAGAAAGTGCCCACATTCCGGAGAGTTTCTGGACTTTTGTGAGTCCAGAATTAAATTGTGACGTGTTCCTATCTATCAGAACTAGATGATATAAATGACAAATGACCAAACATAGTATGACCATGTCGATTTCAATTATTCTACCACCACTACAGACATATATAACACGGTAACTGTCAGTTACTTGTTGGACTTTGGATTCGCAATACTTTGTAAATGAACGATTCACAACATTGAAGTGACGTTAATTTATGACAAGGAGCATTGACGTTGACGGGAGACGACGGGCCCTCCGACTGTGTGATACAGTACCATTTCTCCATCCATCCATCACCACAGACAAGTAAATGAGGGTCCTGTGTAACGTGTCGATCTCGACCCGGAACATATAACAGTCTGATGCTTGGAATAAGTAGTTTCAGGCGGCCGTCACTCAGAATTTAGATTCCGTACGTTTGATAACGTTTAACTTTCAGCGTTCAAGTATTTCTAGCCCGTGTTTTGTACATTTAATGGGAAAACGGATAAATAACCATCCAAGCGAAAGACTCATTCTGTACCTCTGTCAAATTCATATGAAGCAAGTCTAAGTATTAAATGCCACATTGTATCTGATCCCAAGGGGAAGCGGAGCCAGATATTTAACGAACCCTGCATGTCCGTGTATTCCAATTTTTCTAACATCAGCAGCAACTGACCCTTCGAGGCTGATTGGGTTTTCAATCAGATCCACACGGGTCTGACTGTGTCGTTGTAAGAGCAGAGATGAAAAGGGTTTCTCGATATATGTTTTTTGGTAGGTGTACATCCTCCATGTTTCTCTTGTGAAGCCAGATAAAGTTTTATTGAAATTTATTTAACTGTATCCATTTTATAGATCTGATTTCAGAAATATGAATTATGAGTATACGACATTATTGACTACTCAGGGATAATCAGTTAAAAGATGTTGCTATAAAGTTTTGTTGGGTTTTTATTTAAATTAAATTGTGACGTGTTTAGGTATATTCTTTGTTGAAAGCTGTTATTTTGGAAATTTAGTTCATTACAAAGTATTCTTTCAAGATGTAACCAATATTCAATTAACAATGCATTATAACAACATTGCTCTTTTCTTGCGCATCAGACCTGAAGTTGCAACGCAAATATCATTGATGTCACCATATGTACGGAATTTGATGCGGAGAGTTGCGTCCCTTGGGCTCGACAGGAACATGTGATTGCGAGTTCGAAACAGTTCGGTCCGATTGTGTTTCTATTCTTGTCAGCACCATGCCAGAATGTAGTCTGAGACCTGATGTGGTGCAGTCCCCACCTGTCTTTGCCTCAGGTGCAGGTGAATCTCTGGGGACAGGTGCGTTGGGTACCAGCACTAGAATGTGGCGCAGTCCCCACCTGTCTCTGCCTCAGGTGCAGGTGGATCTCTGGGGACAGGTGCGTTGGGTACCAGCACTAGGATGTGGTGCAGTCCCCACCTGTCTCTGCCTCAGGTGCAGGTGGATCTCTGGGGACAGGTGCGTTGGGTACCAGCACTAGGATGTGGCGCAGTTCCCACCTGTCTCTGCCTCAGGTGCAGGTGAATCTCTGGGGACAGGTACGTTGGGTACATTTCTTGGACATGGAATATTCGGAACTACAACAGACAACATGTTTACGATTTGAATTTGGTTAATAGATGATGTTCCATTGAGTAATGCACTTGACCTCAAGACAACTCGCTAACAGACCTTCATGAAGGCAACTATTTAGAGTGAGTGAGGTGTTTGAGTAACGTCGCTTTTAACAGTAGTTTAGTTTATATCCATGTGTGAACTTCATGCGCAGAAAGACCAAATATAAGCATGTCTTAGTAATTTATTAATGTGGTGAAATCAAATCACAAAATTTGCGCTGAAAAAGCAACGATGATAAGGCAAATCGGGACTAGACTGGTCCGCCCAAGAGACAAACTCTTCTCATCGAGTGAGTGAGTGGGTTTATTTTTACGCCCTCAGCAATATTCCAGCTATGTGGCAGCGGTCTGTAAATAATCGAGTCTGAACCAGACAATCAAGAAACACACACCAGTGAGCAGTTACTAATTTGATGGTGACAACGTCCTTACTATTTGGTCATGATCCCTTGCCTCCAGTGTTAATATCTGGCTTGGGGATTTGAAGTCTGGATCCACTCCCTGAAAAATATCATAACGACAAATAGTGTATTTGTTAAACGTATTTTGATGTATTGTAGGAGCCGTACATGCCTTTGTTCAAATGTATGTGTTATTTCGGGTTTACGACACTTTCAATCGACTTCAGATTTGGGGATCGAACCTGGGCTTTTGGATTGAACAATATCAGATATAGGTAATATTGGTTTTTTTAAATAATCTGTCCCATGAAACGAAAGAAACCGTTACCTCGTTTTTACCGTTACCGTTAATTTAAAGTCAGTTATGAAAATGTCAAACATACATATTTATCTGTCGATACCTGTTTGGAAAGCCATTTTTATTTACTAACATATTTCATCTCTTTGAAGTCATTCCTATTTCTAATCTATTCCTATTTAAATAGATAAAACATTATTATTATTCACTCGGTGGTTGCATGACACATGCACAGACTGACAATATTTTCACTCTGTTAGTTGAATAAATTCTGTAATCAGTAGTGTGAGGAACAATGTTATTTCACTTACCTTGTCCAAACATCCTGGCGGAGTATGTGTTTTATCTCAGTATACCACCCCGTGTTATATATACTGGCAGAATGCGGATGTTTGTTCGTTGCTAGGAAGTACTCTATCTGGCCAGGAGATCCTGGGTTTACCCTCAGTCTAAAGGAGTTCGGTCTTGACTGCCGTCGAGTGCGGACGTCTTTTGCTTGTCAGCAAATTGAGTCCTATCAACGCATACTTGATTGTTTATGGTTGTTCGTTTTTGGTTGTGTTCTGCTTTTCTCATCTCTTGGAGTGTATTGTAACTTTTACTTTTATTATTTTTCGTGGCTTAATCAGTCAGTTGTTGGGGATTTTCCTCGGCAATGTCTGACAACAGAATGGACTGTGAGGATGGCTTTAAAGTGGTGTCTTCAGGGAGGAAGCGAATCGGTCGCATACCGGATGGTTCTTCTAAGAAAGCTTGTGTTGTCAAGCAACTACCTACTACCTCTCATGCGTGGTCAGATCTCACCTTTGTTTATGATGAGCCAGTTCAGATGAAGTCAACCACTGTCACCATTAAGGCAGATGTTGATGATGATGATAATTCTACAACCCTTTGTCAACTGATGACCCAGCGGGCTTTGGCTAGAGCTCTGGCTAAGGTTACAACTGAAATAGATAGTGTTAAGCGGATGGCCAGGGGTGATGTTTGTGTAACAACTAAATCCGTTGAGGCAGCCCATAAGCTTATGCAAATTACAGAACTTGCTGAACATTATGTGACACCGTATGAGCCTGAGTCACTAATGAGATCTCGAGGAGTTATCTATGGTATTGACCTTGATGTTGAGATGAGTGAAATTGAGGAAGAAATAAAACCTGTTTTGCCTCTACTATACTCTGCGGTGCGTCTGACTCGTGGACCTGATAAAATCCCTACTAAATCTGTTTTGCTCACGTTTATTGGTCAGTCTTTACCAGATCATGTTGTCCTTTTCTTCCAGAGATTTCCAATCCGGATCTATGTTCCCCCTGCACTGCGCTGCTTTAAATGTCAGTCCTTTGGCCATGTCTCTGCTAAGTGTAGGAGCACTCATCATGTTTGCGCTAAATGTGGAGGGAAGCACAAATATGAGGAATGCAATGAGAGTTCTCTTAAATGTAAAAACTGTGGTGAAGCTCACTCTGCTGCATACAGAGGTTGTCTTAAATATCAAGAAGCGGTCCAAATCCAGAAAGTTAGAGTTGAGGGGAAACTTTCCTATTCTCAGGCTGTTCAAAAGATGCGCGGAGAATTGGATGTAGTTAAGGATCCAATGGTTCATAAACCACCACCAGTTGCTCAACTACAGTCTCCGGTTGTTCCCATTCCTGATGTGGTATCTCGTCCTGTCATGGTGACAGCAAGTACGCAGACTGACATCCAAGAGGTTGAATGTCAGACTGACTCTCTTACTGATCTTATGCATGAAACTTCTTGTACACCTCTGTTCAACAATGTCTCTCCAGTTGATTTTCTCAATTTTGTTATTTGCTTAGTTGCCAACCTTGGAACGAATCGTGCCTTCAAGTCTGATGGTCTACAGACGATAGCATCAGCTGCACATTCACTGCTGGGGTTAAGGTTGTCATCTGAGGATCTAACGAGCATGGTTAAGGGTCAACAATGGAAGTCATCATCCTTATTATGGCCCTCTTAATCCTTCAGTGGAATGCTAGATCTATTAATGCTATAGTCCAGGGTTTAAAGTTTTTGTCAACAATCTTGATCCCATTCCAGATGTTATATGTCTTCAGGAGACGTTTTTGAATCCTAATCAGCAATTCCGTTGGGAAGGATATGTCTGTCTACGTAAAAACCGTCCGATTGGGTCAAGAGGTGGTTGTGCTATACTCAGAAAGGATTCGTTATCATTTAGTGAACTTAGGTTGCCACAGTCCGAAATAGAAGCGAATGCAGTCACTATCCATTTGAAGGATATGAGATCGGTCTCGATTTTTAATATCTACAATAATTCTCATGCTTCCAGCGATGATTACATTTCTCTTTTGAATGTGTCAGATAATCTTCAAGTATTATGTGGTGATTTTAATAGTCATAATCCGTTGTGGGGAGCTGTTAAGTTGGATGTTGGAGGTAAGGCCATTGAGACACTCCTTGGTGAAAAGAATCTTTTCCTTCTGAATGATGGCTCTATGAACCGGTATGACTGGGCTTCTGCTTCATTTTCAGCCCTGGATTTGACCATTGTCAGTCCACAACTAGCTCCACACTGTGATTGGGAAGTGTTTTTTGGGGATTCTTTTGGCAGTGATCATTATCCTTTGATTACCAGCCTTCAACTTGACACGATAATTGAATTAAGAGAAACAGCTCAGCGGTGGACTTTCTCTAAAGCTGACTGGTCTGCATTTACTGCTTTGTGCTCTGACACTATCTCGCCAGCTATAAATTCGCTTGACCTTGAACAGTTTCATAACTGCTTTGTTTCTTACATTATTACTACAGCTACTAGAACAATAGGCAGAAGTTCAGGTAAACGTCCTCTTAAACCGCCAGTATGTTGGTGGACGGATGCGCGTCAATCAGCACATGATGCTAGGAAGAGGGCCAAAAAACTGGTTGAAAAATCAGCTTTACCATCTGACTTGCTAGAGTTTCGGCGTGCTTCCGCTTTCCTCAAACGAACTGTTACTGAAGCTAAACGTTTGTCTTGGTCTAAGTACACAAGTTCCATAAATAAAAATACACCTCTTTCTCAGGTATGGAGAAAAGTGAAAATTCTTTCTGGTAGTTCCTGTTCTAAACGTGCCATTCCATCTATTGGTAAAGACACACCAGCAACAACAAATATTGACAAGAGTAATGCACTGGCAGAGTCCTTTCAAAAAGTATCTAGTACAGATAACTTTAATTCAGACTTCCGGCCCATTAAAGAGTCACTTGAATCAGAGTATTCAGATATCTTACATTGTCCCACACATCATATCGCAGATTACAACTCTTTATGTAGTTTACAGGAATTAAGGAATGTCATCTCTGGACGAAAAAATACCTCTCCAGGTGACGATTTATTGTGTTATGATATGTTCAAACATCTGCCAATTATCAGCCTTGATGCTATGATTTTACTTTTTAATCACATTTGGTTTGAAAGCAAACTTCCCATTTCTTGGAAAAGGCAATTGTAGTTCCTATTTCAAAGCCTGGTAAAGATCCTACTCAAGCCACATCCTACAGGCCTATTGCTCTTACCTCCAACATGTGCAAAATAATGGAGAGAATGGTAAATAACCGTCTGGTTTACTTCATGGAAAAGAACAATCTCTTTTCAGGTGTCCAGTCAGGCTTTCGAAAAAACAGATCTTGTGCTGATCATTTAGTGCGACTTGAAACCGAAATTTAAAAGGCACTAGGCAGCACTGAATATCTTCTGGCTGTTTTCATGGACATTGAGAAAGCCTATGACATGTTATGGAAGGACGGTTTAGTAATAAAACTGTATAAGCTTGGAGTTAGTGGCCGCATGCTTGACTAGATAAAAGATTTCTTGAGGGATAGAACTATACAAGTTCGCATTGGAACTTCTCTGTCAGATGTATACATGTTAGAAAATGGAACACCTCAAGGAAGTGTAATCAGCCCAACCTTATTTAATGTTATGATTAATGACCTGTTTGAGAATATCAGTGTACTGGTCGAAACATCACAGTTCGCAGATGATGGAGCGTTGTGGAAACGGTCCAGTAATTTTGACACTGTCTTTAATGGCATTCAACAATCTCTTTCTCTTGTACAGACTTGGTGTGTCCATTGGGGTTTTAAGATTTCAGCTTCTAAATCGTCTGCAAACATTTTTACTCGGAAGAAGATTCCACATAATTCAAAATTGGTTTTGTGCGGTTCTCATTTGGAGTTTGTGGATAAAGTCAAGTTTTTGGGACTCTGGTTTGATAAGAGGCTTACTTGGAAACCTCATATAGACTATTTGATTCAGAAATGCACTAACGTCCTGAACCTTCTGAGAAGTATTTCCAGTACCAAATGGGGTGCAGACAGGAAGTGTTTGTTACTGTTGTATCGTGCCCTCATTAGATCACGACTTGATTTCGGCTGTCAAGCCTAAGGATCTGCATGTGCTACACAAAAGGCAAGACTAGCTGTTGTTCAGTCAAAAGCCCTACGAATATGCCTTGGAGCATTTAGAACTACCCCTGTTGAGGCTCTCCATGTTGAATCTGGTGAAATGCCTTTAGATCTCAGACGTGAACTGTTAGAAGTTCGGTACATGCTTAAATTGAAATCTTTTGGAATGAAACACCCTACTTCAGCTGTATTTGGAGATTGTGTTGAGTATTTTCTAGATCCTTGGAAAGACGGTATGGGTCCTTATGGGATGCGTTCTCAGAGAACTGCTTTCCATCATAATGTACGTGATGTTGCCATAGCTGATGTTAGTGTTCTGCCAAAGAAGCCACCATGGTTGCTTGACCTTCCATCAGTTTATCTTGATGTCCTGGAACAAGCAAATAAATCTGATCCGGCGCCTCGTGTTAAAGCTCTTGCCGAGGAACATATCCGAAGTTTACAGTGGATCAATGCAATGCAGATTTACACTGATGGATCTAAGTGCTCAGTGTCCCGGTCGTGTATGTGCAGGTATCTTCATAGCCACTGATAAAAGAGAAATATCTCTACGATTAGCTGATCACTTATCTGTATTCTCTGCTGAACTTGCAGCAATCATTGAAGCTTTGCGGTGGATTCATTTTTTTTGAGACCTGTATCAGCGGTCATTTTCAGTGATTCTGTCAGTTCTTTACAAGCAATTCAGACATGTGCCTCCTCAGCAAGACAAGACTTGATCAATATTATCCTCGATCTTTTTAATGAATTAAGTAAAGATCTTTTAGATGTTGAGTTTTCATGGATACCAGCTCATGTTGGAATATTTGGAAATGAAAAAGCTGATCATTTGGCAAAAGCTGCATTAGATTTTGATGTCTCAGAACAGGATGAGACAATATTGCCCTCTCCTGCAGAATTATGCACCGTCAGTAAGACCCCTGCTCAAGCGAAATGGCA